GGATTCAGGAAAGGCGAATCATGTTCTTACCAAATTGCAACTCTACGCATCATCATCGAACAAAGCATGGAATGGCAATCAAACCAAACCCTCAACTTTATAGACTTTGAGAAGGCCTTCGACAGCGTTGACTGCGAAGTAATTTGGAAATTACTCGAGTACTATGGCTTACCCCAAATATTCATCAACCTTATTCAACAGCTGTACGACAACGGCACCTGCCAAGTGATCCACAACGGAAGACTCAGCGAGGCGTTTGGAGTAAACACATGAGTCAGACAAGGGTGTTTACTATCACCAATGATATTCCTAATTGTGGTGACTGACTGGATTATGCGTCAGACTGTGGGAAACGAGAAGACAGGAATATCCTGGACCGACGAGAAGAACCTAGAAGACCTGGATTTCGCGCGGCGATGTTTGTTCGATTTCACACAAAATCGAAGACTTACAAGCGAAAACCGACAAATTGGTTGAAGAAGCACCCGGAGAAGACAGGACTCCATGTGAACATAGACAAGACGGAGGTTATGAAAATAACCAACAACAACAACAGCAACAACATCCAACGTCAATCACCATCAACGGGAGGGATTTGAAAGAGGTTACTTCATTCACTTATCTAGGGAGCATCGTCTCAACTACAGGAGGAGCGGACGAGGATGTCAAATCGAGAATCTGGAAGGCGAGAAACACATTCATCAACCTGAAATCAATCTGGAAATCTTCGTCACTCAGCATCACCAACAAAATTCGGATTTTCAATACAAACGTAAAGTCAGTTCTTCTATACGGATCAGAAACTTGGCGGGTCACAAAGAATATTTCCAAAAGGCTGCAGACCTTTATTAACAACTGTCTTTGCTCTATACTGAAGATCAGATGGCCGGAAAGAATCACCAACAAGGAATTATGAGAACAATAAAAACAAGAACCAATCGCCCAACAAATATGCAGGAGAAAGTGGAGATAGATCGGACACTCGCTGAGGAGACCGCTGGGTGACATCGCGCGTCAAGCCCTCGAGTGGAACCCGAAAGGGAAGCGGCGTGTGGGACATCCAAGGGTGACATGGAAGAGATCGTGTGAAGAGGAGTTGAAAGAATATGGGTTAACATGGATGCAGGCGAAAAGTATAGCAGAAGACAGAAGAAAATGGAGACGTGCAGTTGAAGCCCTATGTTCCACTAGGAACCCAAGGGAGCAATAATAATAATTGGGTAGTAAATTGCTGGCTGGAAGGCATTCATACGGTAATTCCAAGCTAACATTTGTTTTGATTTCTGCTTTCATAATTTTCTTCGAAGAAACTATGAGTTAATTTTATGGCGGAGCGTAAACCGTATACGACATTTGTGATTCAGACTGGTCAGATATTATTCAGTTTCCACCATTGAAACATAAGTGTCTAACAGCATTCATTAACGTAACGAATCCTTCAGTATTTCATTACAACATTACTTCTAAACAGTGGTTTTCCTTGAAGTTGAGATAGACTTTAAGTTGAAGTAGGTTTGAAGTTGTTACCTGTAGATTGTCTGTCACGCAATCTGCTAACTACGCAATAGGATGAACTTGCTAATTATGTTGCTTCAAGCTTCTGTATCCACTACAAATCACCGCCAATTGGAGTAGTCTGATTACTTCAGAGTTTGCTCAACCATAAAGTAACACAAGTTACAAAATCACTGAGTATCAAGAAACACACTAAGAAGTTTGCAGATGGTTGTCTGACTATGAAGTGTATACTTAAAAACATGGGAAAACTAAGTTGGAATTCAACTGCTTCCAACTTCCAGCTTATTCTTATTTTCGATATACAGCAACTATCTTCACAGATGACAAACAGGAAATCAACGATACGACCTTTTCTTATTCGTTCTTTGGTATATCCCTGTATGGATAGTGATTACTGACTTACAAGGAATCCTAATTTAGAAGAAGTTATCTGTCTCATGCTTTCAGTTCCGACAGTTACCTAGTAGATATGTACTATTGTGGTGAAAGCTGTCTTCAAGCTAAAACTTTCGATTACAGTTTACGTCGATGTTTACGTCCCGAATCCGGGTATGAGGAAAAACAATAACAAAGCTTAGCCTTGAGGAATTCACCAGCCAATCACAGCAGACTTAACGTGTGCAAATACGATTCGCAGATATATGGCTTAACCTTCTGAGAAACGGTCACAAACAGTACGGAATAACCTTCAGCAAGAAAACAACCAGTCAGAAGACGTCGCTTCTCCACTGGCAATAATGCACATTAAAAATCTATACATATCTCTTGATTTTCTCAATAAACGACCGATTACCTGGCCCTTGTCTTCTGTCATTACACTATGTGATATACGGAATGACATCAGTCAGTTTGATGAAAAATCTAAGTGAAATGGATTATTCGGGAGTATTTTGTCTCACATGTTGGGAACTTAAGTATGATATGGAGGATATAATGTGAAGAGAAGAATAAGAAGGGAAGGCTTGTCATAATTAGTGGAGCGAAAACGAAGTGCAAAGAATGAATGATAATAGTAATGAACTTTGATGCTAAGACTGGTTAGAAAGCAAAAAAAGAAATGAATGAATGATCGGATTTAAAAAACACCAGCGAAAATACTCTTTTATTTACTTACCTGAGCAATGAATATACATGAACTCAAGCATGGATAAACTTCAAAGCAAACCATATCACGGCGTAGATAACGTTCATAACAATGACGATGTTCTAGACAACTGTAGCCTTTTATTCGACCACATTTATGTACTTCATAATATGCCCAGCGCTTAGATCGATAACGTAAAGTAAGATCTGTATTGGTTGGGAATAAATTTACTGACACGAATCCCAGATATACGATCAAAATGACACCTAAAATAAGTAAAACAATTTGAGTATTATACAGATATATTATAGAGGTGTTATGAAGTGCCTTTTTTGCTAGTGAACATTATTTTATTAATTTTTATATAACAATGAACAGTAATGAAATAAATATCGACAAAAATGTCGTTTAATTGATTTTTTTTTTGTTTTCAGTGGCCTGTTAATTAAAAGAACTTGTCAGAAATTATGAAAATGACACAAACACGTTCAGGTTGAACAAGTTTCAATTTAACTCCACATGTGTGATCTAGTCAGTGGTGTAGCTTGAAAAGCATAAAGCTAAAGTCAGTGGGTGCGTTAGTGGCACAGCGGTAGAATACTCGCCAACCACCCATGTGGTTTGGGGTTCGATTCCCGGCTGACGCCCTCCTTTACCTTGTTTAGCCAGTAATAAGGCTGATGATGTGAGTCGGTGGCATAGTGGTTAGGACGCTCGCCGACCATCCACATAGTTCAGGGTTCGATCGCCGGCCGACGCACTCCTTTACCTCTCTAAACTAGAAATACAGCTGGTAAAGAGGGAAGGTTGGGCATGAGGCTAGCAATACCATCCTGTAAAAATTAAACACTGTTACAGAAAATTCAAGCCACTGGCTTAAGGCCCTATGTTCCACTGGCGAACGTGAAGGAGAAAAAAGAAGACTGATGTAGAGAGAAGGTTGGGCATGAGGTTAGCAACCCATCCCGTAAAAATAAACACCACTGACACCGAAACTTCAAGCCTGAAGCTCTTCGCTCCACTCAGAACGTAAAGGAGTAAAACAATTCAGCGATATAAATTCAGATTACGATAGGCAGTTGAATAGTTCCTCTCAACAATAATACCGAGTCATAATACATCACCAGGGCAAAAATATTGTCACATCATTTATCTGATTGTCTGCCTGGTATATCTGACTGAAATATTCCAATTAGGACACTTAGGAATACAGAAGGCCTCATGCATTAAGCACTCTAAAATTATACCATGACTAATTATTATCTCATGCCTGATATTCTCAAAAATTTGTTCAGTATTCATCTGTCTGTTCTGTTATATGATTCGCAAAAAAAATATTGTGATATATATAGATGTATGTATGTATATATCTTTGGCGACAGACATCATCTTATCCTTACTGTAAATCCTTAACAATGGAAGCGACATGTACGTAATGGCTAGTTACATTTTTATATGATGATAAAGTAATCACTGAACAGAAAATACCATAAGTGATTATCACCCTGATGGCATCGCTGACTATATGACTGATGCCAAAAATAACAATATTAGTATTAAAGTAAAGCATGACACGACAACATATTGTTATGATTTCTACTAGACAGTCAAAAAATGGTAAAATAGTAGTGAGGGATGAAATTAGACAAATAAAGTCGACATTACTAATGAAATGATTTGGTAATATAAAAATGGCGAGACATTTAGTAGAGCAAGTAAACAACAAAAGTGATTTGTACGGCCAATTATAATATTATTATTATTAATACCCCCTTTGTGTTCTGAGTGGGAAAGAGGCCTTCAGTAGCACATCTACATTTCTCCTTATAAGTCGCTGTCCTTCTTAGGTAGCTCAAAGATTGCCAACTTTAGCACCCATACTCAACTCGTCGTTTCCCATTCGAGTTCCTGGCGTTGGAGGTCACTCAGTGGTCTCCTCGGTGTTTTTCCACTCCATCGTCATTTCTTGTGGCATATCAGTTGGATGAGCAGTATACTTATAGCTGGTTAACTCTACCGCCAGAGATCCTTGCCTTCTCATCTACCTTCTAATATTCAGTATCAAGAGAAGCTGGCAGATGATGAGAGTCCACCGAAGGCTGTTGGAAGTGCTTTTCATGTCAAGCGTGAAAAGTGTCTGAGGCATACAGAATCACTAATTTATTATTGTCTAACAGCCACGAATAAGTGACTTACTTTGTTGAAGTCGCTTTGTTACTGTTAAATAGTGCCTTAAACCACCCATCCACATTCTTGAACTTATGTTATAAAGCGACAAAATTAACCACACCTAGTTTATTGACACGCTAGTTTTCTAACCAGTCACAAGCCTAGGGAAAGAGGGAGGGTTGAATGTGGCGCTAGCAACCCACCAATCGTATGTTGACCATATTGCAACCGCACCCACCGTCATCACAGAACAAAGCATAGAATGGGAATCAAACCTCTACCTGAATTTCAAAGACTTCGAAAATTCCATCAACAGGCAGAGTCGAACGAGAAGTAATTTGGAGACTACTTCAGTACTACGGTGTCAAGTATGTAAGCCTTCATCAACCTCATTCCAGAGCTGGCTTGCTGTGTGACAACACCACGTAGTAGGTGATCCACAACGAAAAACTCTGCTTATCGTTCGAAATGAATACAGGCGTAAGATTAGCTGGTTGGCTGGCTGGCTGGCTGGCTGGCTCCCTATCATCACCGACGACGATATTCTTAATTGTGTCAGGCTGTATGTTGGGTGTGAGTGAGTAAGTAAGTGAGTGAGTGAGTGAGTGAGTGAGTGACTGAGAAGACAGAAATACGCCTCACTGATCTCTCAGAAGCCTCTAGAAGATATGGATTTTGTGCGTGGATGAATCATTTCTAATGTCACACAAACTGGATGACTTAGATGCAGGCGAGAACTGGCAACAAACTGCAGAAGTGGTAAGTAGCAAAGATTGGACTACAGGTGAACCTAGAGAAGGCGAGGGCGGAGGTGATCAGAATCACCGGCCACATCCACCACCACCACCACCAACAACAACAACAACCAGCACCAACCACCATCAACAGGGGAAACAGTTTGAAAGAGGTTACTCCCTTCACCTATCAGGCTAGGAAGCACCGTTTCTACCACAGTCAGATGGAAGGGATGGAGATGTCGAAGCCAGACAGCTAGCCAGCCAACCAGATTCGGGAATGCAGGATACGCCTTCATCACCTTGAAATCAGTTTGAAAATCTTCTGCACTAACTCAGACAGCATAGAGAACAGGATTTGGATTTTCAACGCAAACCCTGTGTCAGTCAGTCAGTCAGTCAATTCTTCTATACGGGTCAGAAACCTGCACTGAGCGTACCCCAAGCAGAGCATTTCCATCAGGCCACTGCAGACTTTTATCAACAGTTTCAACCTTCTCTGGCTCCATACTGAAGCTCGAGTGGCTAGCTGGCCGGCCGACCGGTCAGAAAGAATTGGTAACACGAGTCTCTGACTTGGAAGAAGCCAACCGAGAGCTGATTGATCAACCAATATGTAGGAGAAAGTGGACGTGGATGGTGCATATGTTGAGGCCAGAGTCGAATGACATCAAGCTCAATGCAGACCATCGGTGGAATGGAAGCTGAATGGGACGCAACGAGTTGGTCGTCAGTGCGAAGGTGAGATGGAGGAGATCGAGTGATTTGGAGAGGGAAAGAGATGAGAGATTTTGTTCAGTCGTGGACCTAGCTGTAGAGTGTGGCAGAAAATAGAAGAAAGGGGACGTGTGGTGATGGCAGCCTAAGTTCCAGTCGGAAACCGGTGGAATAATAATAACAATACTTAATAACAACATTTGAAAGCACTAATAACGATGGACAGTCCACTTTTTGCTTGACTTCCATCGAAAAACTTGAATAATGTTAGATCACATCAATGGCATTTTTGGCGCCCAAGTGTCCTGAATCGATTTTTTCATAATTCTGAAGACCGATAGCATAATACTGTCAAATCCACAAAATGCAAATTATAATCTGCTTACGTAATTAGTATTCGCCCTATTCACTGGCTCTTCATTTTGTCTTATGTTTGTTCCAAACACAGTCTCTTGCTAAAACATGTTCAATTTGAATTATTGTGATTAAATCTTTATCAGAAAATGTACGATAAATGTTGTAGTTAAAGAATAAGTAGCATGTTTAGAAGTTTTTCAACTGATGTTGGTGACATTACGAAAATTCGGGTTATTATCACCTAATAGGATCTATGGAATATTTGAACAAGGGGAATATTACCAGTTTTTCTAAAAATCCACTCTATGAATACTCATAGAGTGTTTAAAGTTTTAATAAAACTGGGTGAGATATTGAAGTGCTATTAAGTGTGACTGAAATTTTCTGTATCCGTGAATTATCTCGTAAATATTAATGAAAGACCTCACGACTAAACGTCTAAATATTTGAGTGATAAGCCTGTTTTAGATTCCTACAGCAAACAGTATCCAGCTTATAAAAAACCTTCGCTTAATTATATCGTTGAAGAGTCTTCAGTCTTTAAAATAAAGGATAATCTGTCGAATAAAGTGCTTCATTTCTAGAGATCAGAATTTCCATGAGGAAACAAAAGGTGGCTCAAGCTACCGATACCGAAAAGAAAAATAAGTCTTCAGATGCCAAGTATACCACAGTGCAGTTCTGATACCTTGGTAATTTTTCCTCAGATGGGAGATCCCACAGATTGAAAATTATCACAGAACAATGGCCTACGTAAACACCTGGCCTCTTTCTGTAGTACTTCAAGAGAGTAGAGGAAGTTTTAATTAAAAGTGACAAATATTTATCACCTTCATTCAAAAAGTATTCATCACATATCCAATTATTAACCGCCTCAATTGAAGTATGAACTTGAAAGTGGTATTCCATAATAGGAGAGTTTTATTTAATAAAGTCCCAGGAATACGGCATTATTTATTAACTGATGATAATAAAAGCCCAGAATTTTGCTGACAATCATATCACAGTGCTCGAATAACTTTCAGATTATTTTCATGTTGCATTTCTATCCTTTAATTTCATTGTTTCTCGTATCGGTATCGCACCATACCTGTTGGACGCGTTAGGTGTAGATTCTATGTGCAAATATTCAGTGATCAACATCAGTTCGAAAAGCTAATGCAGTTCGGCTAAAGATTATAAGACGTAGAAAGAATTACTGAGAGATTATATATATATATATATATATATATGTATTGTACTTTGACTTGACACTAGTAACTAGTGTGACATGTCTAGTCCTTTATTTG